TTTCCATTGGCCCTATCTCAAGAGTTCTTACTAAGAAAACTTACGGTACAAATTTAGACATGAGAAAGTAGATTGATCAGTTAGTCACTGATGGATTGTAATCCTCCAATTATAAAGAGGATTTAGCAAAAACATTTCTATTAGTGTCCACACAGACCATATATTTTTATATCAATTTTATCCAGAAGGTAAAGTGCTATGTCTCTTCGGACATGAAGGAAAATGTCAAGGGTTTTATTGAAATATAATATTGGAGTTTAATAAAATAGTAGCTCCTAGAAATTCATTCATGATACCTTTCAATTTTTTAGTGATTGGTCCTATAACACAAGTTTGGGGGATTTTAAGATGAATCTAGGGTCAAGAGTCCTGAGAATGATGGAGACAGGGCTATATTTCCATTCAGATGAGGAGCAGAATGCCCTGGAAGCACCCCGTCCCAGGACCTGGATAGGAAAATGCCCTCCCTGGATCTGTGTGGTTTCTGATTATAGACTCTGGCAGATACACCTAAGCCAATCCAGGCTTTTCAACTCATCTATTTTATTAAACATGAAAGTAGAAAATCCATGGCCTTTTTATTCTTTTAAATAACTTCAAAGTCATTAACAACTATCTTCAGAATGAAGCAGGAAAAATATATGTCTATTTGATCATTGCAGTAAAATAGAGCCCTAGAGTTCTTGACCAGGAATAAACCACAGTATTCTGTGGATCCCTCTGTCCTAGCTTTGACACATGGAGAATCGAGGTGTTTAAGAAGACTGTATCCTCTGAAGCTTCAACCTGTTCCTTCTCCTGTCTGCAGGTATGACGGACAAGAGCTCTCCTCCCACTTGCCTGCTACTTTAACATTTAAAGTGCTGCCTCTGTGCTCAGTTCCTCTCTGGTTTATATCTGAGGGGAAAAAACCCGTACAGGTCTCAAAGGTGGTGAGGCTACTGGGTGAGACTGTCATTCAAATTTAGTGGCTAGCCCCAACACACTCATCCTCATCCTTACCCACCACCCAACCCACACATGCCTTCTGACCACAAAGTCCAGCTTTACTTACATAACAGGAAGAGATGGAAAGACAGGGTGGCACTATGAACATCTCCCTACTCCTCACATTTATAAAGTGGTCATTCAGCCAAGAGATGACAAATAGATTTTCTCCTCATCTCCGGAGATCACAGCTCCCTCATTTGGGGGCAAATACAACTTTAAAATCTCAAGATGGCTACTCATTCATGTTTAGCCACCTCCCTCAGCAAAAAATGTGGGTATGCTCAGGTAGTACAACTTAATTTGATTCTGCTGTAGTTGTATCACATAGTGTATTATCTAATTGGGAACTGTGCATTTTCTGGATTGTTTCCTACATAAAATATAAGAGAAGGAGAAAAGGTAAAGATCAGCATTGCTTTAGGTATCTGTGAGGTGCCTGCTCCCTCCAGCCCCTGCACGTCACTGGTGTATGTAGGTACAGCTGAAGGGAAGCAGGGTCAGTCCTTGGCTTAGTGACAGCTCTTCCCATTAACTCCCTTAGCTCTTAGCTGACATGATATATCAGCCACGTATTTGTCCAGTAAATGGGACAGATGAGTTGAAAAGCCTGGATTGGCTTAGGTGTATCTGCCAGAGTCTATAATCAGAAACCACGCAGATCCAGGGAGGGCATTTTCCTATCCAGGTCCTGGGACCTGGTGCTTCCAGGGCATTCTGCTCCTCATCTGAACGGAAATGCAGCCCTGTTGCCATCATTTCCAGGACTCTCGACTCTAGAGTCAGAGACTCCAGTGTCCACATTCTTCTCTTTCTCTGGTCGCTCTGTTTGGTCTTATAGCCTGTGGCTTTCTTCTTCCCTCTCCCACACTAGCTTCAGCAAGGTCAGTGACCATCTAGTCCTGCTTTATTTCTATGTAAAAGAAATAAAGGTGTGCTCATCCCCAAGCTGCTTACCATTTGTGCCCAATTCTACACATCGCAGAGATGTGTATTACTAAAGGTGGGTTATATTAATTTTATTTTAAGTGTACTTTCTTAGATCAGTAAACTCTGTGCAAATTGATTCTTTTTCACATTGATTTACAGATAAATGGGAGAGGTAGTAAAAGTGTATCTATACTGTAGTCAACAATAAAAACTGTATATATAGAGGTGAACACCAGGAGATAACAGGAAAACATTTACAGTTGTTGGATAAGAGCTGCTATTACCAGCTGTTGTCAAGTGGACAAGGCACAGAGGTAATGATGGAAGTCACAGAGTATCATCATGCAATATTAACATATTTAAAATGCAGTTTAACCAACATGTGCTATGTACAGCCCCAAAGCTCATAAATGAGCATTGATGTTTAAAAATAAATCTTATTTCTCAGTTTTTCCTATTGCTTTTATTACTTATTCATTCTGCTAAGCTCCCACTAACTGAAATACAGTAGAGTCACCAATTATTTAAGAAAAATTGGAAAGTAAAAACCTTTTAAACTGTAGGTTTCTTTTTCCTTTTCTTCTCTTTTCTTTTTCTTTTCTTTTTTCTTCTTTTCTTTTCTTTTTTTTTTTGCAAATAAAATAAGGCCATATTCAATTCAGTAGGGGAACACCCCATTCAAATTATGGACTGCAGCAGCGTTGTTTAAAAATGTTGACTGTGATAGTGTGATGGGATTGTAGGAAATGTTTTTTTTTTCATCACTATTTATTTATTAGCATATATAATGTTGCTCATGCAATAATAAAAATCAAGGGAGAAAATGTAACAAAAAAGTAACAAGAAAGGAAAGGAAAGAACCTTGTGGTCATGCAAGTTCCTCTGCCGCTGTAAGGCCAAAGTCACTTGCTTCTCAGCTTTCTTCACCAGCCTGTCATCTTCTTGTAGTGCATGGGTGGTGCGCAGCTCCTGGATCAACTCCAGACGCTTTTCTTTCCCTTCAAACATCTGTATCAAATCAAATCAGAGACTTGCAAATTAGCATTCCTTGTGCCAGGCACAAGGACTCACACACAGTGACCTGTGAGGCCCTTGTGAACAGTGGGTTCTTTTCTGCCTTTTGGGATGACAGAGCATGATCCACAGAGCAAGTTTAGCCCTCTGTTCTACACCTTCAGCTGCTCAGGCAGAGAAGGAGCTTAGTTATCAGTTAGTGAGCTCAATTTCTTAAAATACCTTTCAAAGACAAAGTGACAACTATACGGTCATATTAAGAAACTTGAACCTTCCCCTCATTTCCTGTGCTCCTTCTCTAAGAATCCTGGTGATGGTGCAGTTCATGACCATATTTTCTCTTCCAATAGATCTGCCCCTGGTTTATAATATACAATGTGCTGTCTGAACTGTGGCATTTCTCCTGGGGAAATACTAAAAGGAGAGTAAAGAACAATGCTGAACACAAGATGCTTGCCCCACTTCTTTGGACTTATTCTTCATAAACTAGCCTCTTAAGAGTTATCACTGTCTGGAGGCAAAAGAAATTTTTACCTGGGCTTTATATCAGTCCATTTTTAGATTGAGTGCTTGCTCTGGCAGCACAAATAATCTGGGTACATCTTTACAGTGAGTAAGACCAGAGTTGAATTTGCTGATAATTAACACGATCTCTGTCAGACTCACATTACTTGCCTGTAAAAAAATGGGGTAGTAATTGATAGAAAAAAAGATGATATGTGTATAGCAAAGAATATATAATGTGGGCATACAGTAGGGGTTCAAAACTGTAGTTATTATTTAGCTAGTTCATTTATTATTCAGGTATTGTTAGCTATATGCAGCTCAGATAATTGTATTATGACTTGGTGGAAAATCAGGGAACCTACTTGATTTGTGATACTTTAATAGTCAAAATTCAGGTAAGAAAATTGCTGGATTTAGCAATCGCAAGGAAGATATTAGTTTCACACTGCCTTGGTTACAACTGTGGCAAACAGCTGGCAGGTCTTTTCTTTCCTTTACACTGTGTCACCTGGACAATATATGGCAGTGGAAGGAAATGGGTAGGTAATTCGAGAGTATAGTTCCATAGGATAGCAGAGAGCAAGCGGAAATTCACCCCAAGAAACCAAGCATATATGCACTCTATAAATCTATTTGCAAAGAAGCACAGGGCTAATAGTTGAACCCTACATACCATGTTCTGAACAGCTCTGCCCCGGAGTAACTTTTGTAGGTAGATAACAGCCATTTCCATATCTTCTTCTTCCTAAAAGAACAAAGGGAGAAGAACCAAGCAGCTTGAGAACAGCAGTTAGCATCAAATATTTTTTGAAGAATTCTATCAAGCAAAAGAGACTGTGCTAAATAAAACATGGCCCATACTCTCATTGAACATACACTATCTTAAGTGTTACTTACTGTATTGTATTATTAATATTCATTATTTTTTCATTATAAATATCATTAATAAATCCTATCAAAAGCAAAAAATTCACCCACTGTCATGCTATCACTACAAATTAAGCTATTTTCATTTTGCTATACTCCTTTCCAACACAATTTTTCTTGAAGCAACAAATATTGTTGATAATAACCCTTTTGCAATAGTTTTTTCATTTTTGATCATGAGTAGAAAAAGAATGCAACTAGTCTGAATGTTAGAGTCTAGAGTGAGGTGCTTCTCACAAGAATTTAACTAAACTGGTAAAATCAGAATATAATGGACAAAATTAGCCGTCTACAAAAATCACCTTAAATATCTATGTATCAAAAACAGAAAGAGAGACTTTCTCGAACAAATACCATCAGTTCCAAGCAAAGGAAACATGGTGGAGTGAGAGAAGTCCTCAGATCTCTCCCCTTAAAACAACAATAAGCGGAACATCTAAAACTCAACAAAAAACACCCAAACTGCACACCAGCACATCTGAGAGTAGGATCTGTGCGTAAGAGCTACCACAGGTCAGAATCCGGGGTGTCGGGTGGTGGACTGGGAAGAATAAAGAAGCTCCCTCTCACAACCACCGGAGCTCCCTGTAGGAGGATGGGGAGGGGAGAAGGAGCAGCAAGTTCCCTGAACAGCCCTGCCTGGGCAGAGCTCCCCATGGTCGGTGGCAGTGCCCAGTCAGCAGGGCAGAAAGCAGAGAAGTGGGACTGGATGGCAGAGGAACAATAGTTGATTTTTACCCACCCCGGTTGCAAACCAAGGCTGAGCTGCAACCCCCAACCCAGAGAGCTCCTCCCCCAATACCCTCCAAGACCAATCACCATGGGAATCTGAGCAAACGCTGCCAAGACTGTCACAGACACTGACAGGGACTGAAACTGAGGGTAGTGAGTGTGATTAAATATCTACAAGAAAATAAAGGCATTATATAAAGCCATTATTAAGGTTTTATATAAAGCAGGGATCCAAGAGGCTTAGATGCCACCTACTGGAAACCAAAAGAAAAGTGCCTTCTTTGCAGCAGGCTAAAGAGACCTTTATATAATAAATCTTCTTTCTGGAAAAAAAACAGAATACACTTACATTAATGCCCTGGCGGAGAAATAGTCCATTAAACACCATGAACAACCAAGGTGACAAGGCATCTCAGAAAGAAAGAGAAAATCTCCAGAAAATAAGCTTACAGACATAGAAATGTGCGACTTAAATGACAGAGAATTCAGGATTGTACTTCTGAAAAAACTCAGTGAGTTCCAAAATGAGTCATATCAACAATTTCAAGAACTGAAAAA